CTTTAATATATGTGAATACAATATGCTGTTTCTTTGTGTTATAAGAAGATTTATCATTTTCCTCATTAGTATTTCTTGTTGTTTTGTTACCCGAGTTCGCACTATTAGCACAGTACATGTTGTGGTACGTATAACGGTGCCAATGTACACCTTATGAATATAACAAATAATGTATTCTTTAACTTATATTTCTTATGTATAACGTTGCTATTTTACACCTTTTTTTCTTTAAGTAATAATAAGTTCTTAAACCTATATTTATCATTTATAACTTCTATAAGTAATGATATATTCTTAAACGTATTTGTCTTATCTATACCGTTACAAATTAACAGATTTTTTATTCTTAGACTAGCATTTCAAACGTAAAAGGTACCAGAATAAATTGCAGCTACAATGTCAACGACAACCTCGCGGCCAGTAAGTCCACGATCACCAAGCTATTTAATTATATCTCAGTACTGTTGCCTTCTGTGTTAAAATGATACAAGCCACGTTAGCATAAAACCTTAAAGGATGCGTATCTAAATCACGTGACTTCGTGATATAGGCACCCGGCAACAAAATCACGCTAAGTCCATCACTTTATAGACACAATAGCACAATATCAAGGGAAAGCTATTGGCCTAGATAGGTGACTTCGCTATCAGTAAGACATTATCCCCAGACAAGCCGATGGCTATTACCGCTGACCAACACCGGTTGTATGAACTGTAAGAGAAGGGAGTCTTTATAATAAGTCCTTAATCTTGACTGTAGCATCCGTAAACATTTTAATATGTAAAACCCATTTATCCAAATGAAAATGTCACTTTCAAGCAATATCAAGCCACACCTACTTACAAACTCTCGTGAAAACACGTGAGAATAACACATGTTGTTGATCCAGATTCATGTAAGTCAATAACATAGCACGTATCTCATAGAATCTTCATAGATAAGAAGAAGTAGACATACGGGATGTTTCCATATATTAAAACTTCTAGGTTTTACTTAACTTGCCAGCAGTAAATACTCGAACAAACCAATCAAATACCTCCACCTGTCTCAACAAGGCACATGTCCTGATGAGCCAGCTACCTTCACCTGTCTCAACAAGTCACATTTCCTAATGAGCATGCTACCTTCACCAGCTTTTCATATGGACTGATACATTTCTGTTTAAACTGTAGGTGTATAATCCTCAGAATCGCTTAAACAGTTTAACTCCCTTGTTATGTTTCCTGGTCAAATCATTAAATAGGTATATACGTTGTACGACACATCCTATTTTGAACTAAATCCTGAATTTTGATTGGTTAGTTGAACTTTCGATGATAACAAAATATTCCAAAAAATGGGAAAATGTTATGCATTGAGTTCCTCTAGGTTGTCATTCTTAGCAATATGAATACCAGGTGTGCAGGGTTTATACAGCAAGAACAGCTAGTGCGCTCCATTAAATTTACCTTTGTCCAGTTTGCGTTCATTATGTCTATGAATGCCAACTGGAAGCAGATCAATGCGTAAGGATATTGACATTTATGTTAAATGATTAATACAAACGTGTATGTAGGTTAGGGAAATATGTCACCGTGACTTTGAAGTGCCCCTACCAAACACTAGATCTACCCTGTTAAAGTCTCTGATATTCTTGATATTCCAATAAGACTGTTAATCTCTATGTACATGTATATATAACTGGCTTATTGGTTCGGCCTACCTTACATTGTATCTTCCTAAACTTAATATATTACATCATCAATTTACATGCAGTTCATGTTTGAAATGTATGTCTTTCTATATGGAAAGGGCTTTTATAGGCAATGCCTGTGCCCAATCCCCAAACAATAATTTTTCAAATAAAAAACTGTTTAAAAATATCCTTATTTGGTTACCTGGTTTATCCTTATTTGGTTGTCTGGTTTATCCTTATTTGGTTGTCTGTTTTATCCTTATTTGGTTGTCTGGTTTATCCTTATTTGGTTGTCTGGGTTATCCTTATTTGTTTGTCTGTTTTATCCTTATTTGGTTGCCTGTTTTATCCTTATTTGTTTGTCTGGTTTATCCTTATTTGGTTGTATGGTTTATCCTTATTTGGTTGTCTGGTTTATTCTTATTTGGTAACCTTGTTTATCCTTATTTGGTTACCTAGTTTATCCTTATTTGGTTGTCTAGTTTATCCGTTGTTACTTCCCTAGTCCTCCTTTCGCTTGTAAGACGCTTACCCTCCTGAAACACCTGGCCTTAATGTGCTTGTACTTCTCGGGTAAATCTTTTGTATGTTCATATTTAGCCTATAATTATCGATTTTGTAATTCAAATTACGGTTGTATGGACATATTGGAATTATCGTGTTGTTATCTTTGAAAAATGTTGAAATATAGCAGTGAATTCCTCAAAATTGTATTGATTCATGTGTATGCTAATTGTATTGATTGTATAAATTGTGTATATATATATGTGTACTGTGAAGCGCATTAGAGTGGCTTAGTCTAGCTAGATAAGGCGCTATATCAAATGTAGTACATGTATTTATTTTATTTATTACACATCCGTATATCTTCAGGTAGTCTCTGAATACAGGAAATTAACATAAGATCTTAAAGTGAATTCAAAACAGATCAGTTTTTAAATATCTATTAATAAATCGTTAAGTTAACAAGGCTAGCGAACACGTGATGTTGACAGTTTATAAACATTAGTAGTGTGTATAAATATGAACATGTTAACTTTACTATGTTAGTGTTTGGTGATAGTGTTGGAAGTGTATTTCTATTAACTAACCTTGACGTGCTTCGTCTGTCTTCATAATTTCTTCAACTTGAACTTAACACAATGACTTACCCGTCGCTTGATTAAAATGTCATTATTTTAAAAAAAATGCTTTACATTGAAATATTACAGTAGATATTGTTCACACAATTTCCAATGCAAATACTGTTCACAGTCCACAGCATGTAAACACGTTTCAGGATGAGAAATGTTATGCTGCCTTAGCTTAATCTCATCTTAAATCAAATTTTAATGTATTATTTACAGATATTTTGTAGAAATATAAACCCTCTATGTATAATATATTATCTTATTGAAGTAACTTGAAGATACCTAGGACAAACGTTGTGGTTATAGTTGTGATAGCTGTAAAGGATTGCTTATTCGAGTTTTACTTTAGAACTCTGTTTATCTAAGGACACCTTACACAGCTTAGTCCTTGAGGTATACAATAACATGCTCTAGGTGAGTTAAGATATGATTGCCATGATTGTGTACGATGCCTGGTTTAAGCTATGTTTAACGACGGGTGCACTGTTGTACATTACATTGAGGACCTGTGTACAAATTTTAAAAAAGAACCACTATCATTAACAGTATTCTACGCGACTGGTTCTGCCTGTTTTCGCTTGAGTATTGGCACTGTGTGCATAAGTGTTCATAACATTAGTGGTAGGTCTGAGTTTTTATTGGTTGAACTTCCGTATTTATGCAAGAAAAATAGATTGTCAAATATAAAGCCAGCCTTGTAATTTGTATATATTTTGAACACGTTTGAGGGACAATTCATGTTTGCAATACAAATCCTGGCAGTGCTTTAACTGTTAAATGTGTGAAAACATATCGATATATCGTCTTTTAATCAAAATTCAAGATCTTCGAATATGGTCGAATGGAGCAAACAGTTTGTTGACACTTCGACAAGGTATACATACACTTAATTTTTCTTGACTTTCACTCTGAAAGTGCACTGAATTTAAAGTTGTTATACGCGGAGACCATTAGCAGTAGTATACATACACATTACAATTTATGCCTTGAGAAAGAAACATTATGTCACGCATGCATATATACAAATCTGACTGAGGTATTTGATCGGGTTTACATAGACAAAGATCAGTATAGTTAGCTTGTGAGAGACTGATAAAAACAGCTGTATCAGGACCACACCAGTTACTATGAATTGCAAGTGTTCGTGAATGACATATTTTCATTACTCACTCTTTCACCAAATTTCACGCAATGCATACTAAGATATGCACATACGTTTTCATAATTCGGAACATCCAATATGTGAGTTTGTGAGAGAGAAATATATGAAAATAGACCATTCATGGAACTGACCTTCTACGCTAACTAATCGGGTTCCAGTGGTAAATTAGGTTGCAACACGAGAGGAAAATCTCAAGTCACCATCAATAGAATGATTATTATAGATATGAATAAATGGAGCACCCGTTAACATACAGTTGTATTGTATATAGAGATAACTACATAATGTAGACATTTTACTGTACCAAATGGCCATGTCGTCAGTTACGGAATCAGCCGTAATATTTAGGTAAAGTAATCCAATTGTGATATATTCCAAACCATATGTAGAACACAGTGAAAAGGAAAGTTGCATATAAGCCTTTGTTTATTATAGCCTTTAATTTGTCACTTCATATAAAAAAAACCGAAATGAGTTATGGCAATAAAATAAATAAACGTTATGCAACGTAATCACCAACAAGTGGCACGTCAAGAAACGGGATATGATGTTAATCATGTAGTTAGTATCAGTGAGACTGTATGTCATACTATTATGTATGACATGACAGTTAGTATATATGTATGACATTGTTCAGTATATGTATGATTATGTATTAAGTATAACACAGTATATAAGGTATTGTTCTAATATATATGGTACAGCATTCAGAACGTGAATCTCTGAAGTAAACATGAATGAAAAGGCATGCAACAGCATATGAACTGAATGGGATATTACTTTCCACCTGTGTGAGGACACACGATGTAGCAAGACTGACCCCAGGACCCCACACCTGGCAGACTTTCAATTTAATTGCTCGAAAATTTAAAATTCAAAATTTAAAACTCGAAATGATTTTAAGATAAACAAATGAATATAAATGATGAAAAATAACTACTGTGTCAAAGGTCGACTGGCATAGGGGTAAATCTTACAAAACAAGACATTTATTAACACAAACATTAAGGATCATTCATCATGTATTACTTACATATACCACCACCGTTGTTAGTCGCCATGTTCCTGCATGTTTTAGACAAATCCGGCGGGGATGGGGTTGTTCCAGTTCCAGGCTTTACATTCTTTCCTGTTTCTGCAGCAGTTTGACCCGGAAGTACAACTTGATCTTTTGCGCATGATGACGATTTATCTTTTTCTGTGAAATGAACAATTAGGCCAACTCCTATTGCTATGGCAACAGCCACAAACACGAATACTACACCAGTGGTTATCTTCACGAAGCATCCCTTACGGGATTTGTAGGACGAAGTAGCACTCGCTGTTTCTGAGAAAGTGAAGGATTCATATCTCCCCATTTTTGATGGAATTGATCCGGTAAGGTCAACCCTTTAAAGTGTTTACACGTGTTCTTTTTATCCTCAACAACACATATTGTTCATAGGTCAAAGGTCCTAAGCTTCCCCCACGTGCGAAATGGCAGCACGTCCGTATCAACTTTTACATTTAACTCCAACAGGAAACGCAGGAATCCTGAACGGAAACTGAACAAAGTTAAGATTAATTTGTTTTAATCTGTCACAGTATGATGTTCACAAATCTTATGAAGTCTTGACACTTTACACGAAAACTTATTGTTGTTTCTGTCCAGTACGTCCGAGGTCAAGTGACCACTGTCCACTATCCGAGGTGACGGCTACTTGGGGTCAGTACTCCGTCAGTCTCCGAACCTGAATAGTACCTGTCTCAGATGTAGCTCATTCAGAAAGCTTCGGGCTGCCTGACGGAAGTTATCAATAGCATTTAAAATCATTTTAAACTTGAGCACTTATATAGGTAAATTGTACTTCACTGGGTGGTATAGGAAACAACGTTAAGGAACGTTTTAGGAGTAACTTTAAATGTCTGTCAATAGTGCATAACAGTCACACTCTGGGATATGATTTTCCAAGTGTAGAAAAATAACAAAAAATTCTGTTTGAATAATTGTGAACATAAAGATATTTACTTACATGTAAATTGAACGTCACACTATGGAATATGGTCAACTTTATAGAGATGTATACAAGTGACAACTTGTTGAACTCTCTATGTACCTTTCGAATGAAATTCAGGTAAATCTTTCCTTTGATAATTCTTTTACTCGAGTTTCGTCGAATTTCAACTGGCGTTACTGTTTGTTCAAATCTGTGGTATTCTCTTCTTTTTATTTTCTGGAGTGAATTTTTGCTGAATAAGGGACACACTGTTGTCACCTTCTACGAGTAAACTTATATATGTCTACGGACACATTTATTGTCATTGCGGAATTATTTTCATTGATTTCGTAATGACTCAGAATCCATGTCCTTCGAAAATGAAGTTACCTTTCTATCAGGAACCGATAAGATACATAAACAAAAGTAAAGACAACAAGCGGAGTCGAGAAGGTGTTTTAACAAATAGAAAGACAACGGTAGGAGGGGAGATATCTAAACAAAATGAAATACAACAACAGAATGAGGTACATAAACAAAAGGAACGACAACAAATGGAGTCGAGAAGGTGTTTTAACCATTGAAAAGACGACATAAGTCCAGGGGACATCTTAACAAACAAAAACGACATTACGATAATTTCGGAGAAACAATATGCCCTTAGGGGATCCCGTACAACGGGTTACACGTGTGTTAAATCTAGAAAGTGTCATAGCAACCAGGACATCACTGCAAACTCATTGTAGGAAATTACGTCCTGGTGATGTACGTAAAATATCTTCAATGGGTATCCTAGTGTATCAGGCAAAATAAAACATAAAGTAATTTTAGTGATTTAAACGAAAGGTTTTTCCAGAAAAAATTATAAGAATGTCAACACTCTATATTGTGGCCAGTTGGTTTGACAAATGTAGAACATTTACGATTAATAGATATTGTCAACATGACCGCTTACAGGTAAAATGAACATCACAGTCACACTTGGGTATCCGGAACGTAAGGTATGTAATGTGTACGAGTATTCACACAGATGTAAGTCAGTGAAGCGTAAACAGACACCAAACAATGACACGGTTCTCCTCGCAAAATAGTTCAATCGGTGCTGCTGCAGTATAATTATTATTATGTAAACTTTATAAATATTACAACAGTTTTGAAACAATTTTTTCATAATTTATCTTTAAATTCTCTTTGTTTTCTTTTTTCTTTTCTTTTTCTCTTCTTTTTTCAAATATTTAATTTCCCCCAGCCAAATATTATATATATATATTATACTGATAAGTATATACAGATATACATAAATAAATTGATAGGAACTGCCAGGTTTGGGGAGCCCTGGAGTCAGTCCCCTAAATCTTAAATTCCTCTTGTATGCCCAGATGGAAGCGTGCAGGGGGTCTTAATTATTACACGTTTATCAGTTTTAATGTATAAAGGAGATAAGTCGACAAACAACCTAATGTATAATGAGAAAGGTAGAGTATATTCTTAACTCTGACGCCGATCATGATGTGTAAGGTAGTCCACATCGTTAATGAAGATAATCAAACACTTATAAAGATATAAAACACATAATAGAAACTTTATTTATTTTACAACAATTATGAAACAAGTCATTTCAACTTATATTAATCACTCTTGATGGCCCGAATGTTACCCGACCACCCCACACTATAATGATATAGCGTGCAAGGTAGCATACATCTTAAAGTGAGATAAATCTGACCCCAGTCATACCACCTGGTATTATATGGAAGGTAAGCTCGATGATAATCAATGTCATTTTGTTCCATTTTCAGTGTTCTGCTTTTACATCATCTTGTCGTAACCAATTGATAAGTGTACAAATATTGTGGCGTACGTCATTACCAACAAGCAATTATATATATAACAAGATTTCAATATTTTACTTTCTTATCGACCTTTGGGATATTGAGTCTGTACTGTCTTATTTTGGAGGTTTATGTCCAATCCTACATTACTCATTTTAATAACACTGGGAGGAAGAAGTCTAAAAATGGCCGTCAGAGTATACACCAAGCAAATAAAACAAAATTATAACCAGATTTGGACGACGAACACCGTCAAGATAGTGATTCATTTAATTCAACTTGCTGAGCGGAAATAAAATACAAATGCTATCAATATAATTTAAAATTAAAATCAACGGAACTATTTTGATATACCAGAGTACAATGATATTCTGCAAACGTCCAACAGGTCAAAAAGAAAATGAAAAACAATTGTCTGAAACCAATAACAGCGCATCAAAGTTAGTTATATAGAGGTACCAACAGTATCAGAACTAAATCTAAAGCATGGAAGGAAAGTTTTCAAAGTTAATATCTGTGCATCATCCACTAGTCCAGTGAATGTTGGTACAAATCGAGCAAAACAATAAAAAAATAAATGACCAAATAAAACACCAGCTGTATGACAACCGGCATTATTTTAATGAAAAACTGAATTTACTCTATGACAAATTATGGCGACAACTTTCAGCTGATCACATGTGAGCACAGGCATATCGTTTTATACCTGAATATCGACGTGAAGGGATAAAAACATTAGCAGAATACCGAAGTGTAAATTTAACCACAACTTTAACTCCAAATGAAGATAAAGGCCTACGATGGCATTATAAGCGAGTAATAAGAACCCTAACTTGATGAAGATAAAAGCACTAGGTAAAAATATGAGTAGGTATTCTGAACCTTGATTTCATTTAAATATAATAAGAAGTAATTATCAATGAGCGATTCGAACCCTAAATTCATGAAGATATAAGCACAAGATGACAAAACAAGCAAGTAATTTGAACCCTTACTTGATGAAGCTGTAAGCCTTTATCTTCACTGCAGGAATTTTGTTTATTTTTCACACAAGCTTGTTTAATGTTCTACGGTTAAACTTCACATGTATGCTTTTCCTCATAACATACATTGTGTCCCACACAGTCTATATAGTAATGTGGCGACACATTTGTAGGTGCTAATATTTCATTGATTGTTTTCATATTATAAAACGTATTAGATCAGTGTATTCCAGCTTGATAGTATGTCACATCAATAGTCGTAATACTAATATAAATAGGTCATCCGATACCCTTAGCAACGAAAACAGGTAACAACTAAATCGTTAGTTTTATTCCACATACACCTATCCTATAATCCGACATTTCCAAGTTTTAATGTGTATGTATTTTAGAAAATTGACTTTTCCTATTTGCAAATATATCTAATCGCTTGTTTATTTTTAATTTTTACAACTCTGATCATAAAAATATCGAACGATACACATTAAACCTGTAACATATGGGGCCCGATTGACCTAGCTAGAAAAAGTATGTCTTTTATGGAATTTCTAAACTGCTGACGTCATAAATGTATTTCTGTATACGTTGTATGTAGGGTATTATTTTGAAGTAAAGGACATGTATGTTTTGTTCTCAGTTTTTGGCACACCTACTCCAGGCTTTTGAAGGTGCAGTCACATGTGTGTGTGTGTGTGGGTGTGTGGGTGTGGGGGGGTGTAAGTGTGTATGTGTGTATGTGTGTGTTGGGTGGGTGGGGTGTGTGGGTGTGGGTGTGG